CCCCCCTTCCCCCCCCAAATCCACCAACAGCCCGCCCCTTCCCCTTCACCCGCCTCCGCTCCTCCCTCCGCCGCCGCACCCGCACCACACCCACCCACCACGCCGCCGCAAACACCGCTCCAAACAGCACCAACCCGCCCACCACCGACGGCACGCCGATCTTGACGAAGTTTCAGGCCCTTAGCTAGTGGTGATGTTGCCCGAGTCGAGGAGGTCAGCGGTGGTGGTCGTGGTTGGTGGGGGCGTTGGTTCTGTTCTGATTGGGGCGGTTGGGAGTGTGGTGGGCGATGTTGTGGTTGGTATTGTGAGGGTGTGGAGGGTTGTGGCGGGGGGTGTGAGTGGCCTTGTTTTGGTGGTTGTTGATGTGATTGTGACGGAGAGGTAGACTGTGGAGGTGGGAGCTGGTGAGGGCGACGGCGTGGGGTCGGGGGCTGAAGGTGAGTTGGCGTTTGATACGGGCTGTGGATCGGGGGTCGGCTTTGGAGGGGGGGGAGGAGATGGAGGTGGAGACGGGTTGGGGCTCGGGTCCGGAGAGTCGGCGGGAGGTGGCGGGCTGGGTAAGTTAGTGATTTGGGGACGATCGAAAGAAGGTAAGGTGGGGGGATAGCTACGTACGGGGAGTTGTTCCCTTTGCCGTGGCCTGACTTATAAAACGTTTGTTGAGGGGCCATGGCGGGAGTTGAAGAATGAGAGCAAGCCCGTTCCATCTGGCTGTGATCTTGGGGTCGTATCGCAGTGCTCCACGATCAACAAAATGATGCGTTTGGTGATTCTTGCTGGGAAGACTGAATGAAGGGCGGGTCTATATCACTGTCGATGAATTCCCTGATACTCTTGTAGTCGCTGATCCCCAAAACCTCTTGCTGACCTGCACATACACTTGTTAGCATGCTTTTCCAACCCCCCCGAAAGCCCCCAGTTTTTGATATCATAACTCACCTAAGTACCCTCCAAACCTGGTCGGCAAAGAAATCTAGCTGGCCTGCCTACTGTGGCTTGTTACAGTTCTGGAAAACCATCAACAGCTCAACGACCCCCCCAACCGTGGCACAATGAGCTTTTATAGAAGATATCCAGGATGCAGCCACGTGGTCGACCAGTCATTATGGTGTCATACAATCCCTATCGTCGCCTTCAGATGGCAATACCATCTCTGTGTGACCCCCTACCACCCCTAGGAAGCAATCACACACAAACCCTGATAACAAGCAGTTTGAGACGAGACTACGCCGAATGCCGAGGGCCGGAGGCTCTCGGGAACCAGCTAACTACCATAACATCAGCGCATGTTGGGTACTAGGGGGCCCTCGGGGTTCCCAATGGTGCTCATGCGTTGGACTAGTTTCTTAGACCCTTTACAGCACAGCACGTTCACGATGCTGCCGACGGTTTTCTTGCTGTAACAGAATGCAAACGTATTTCTTTTTACCCAACCGGAAAACAAACACGATGAGCCTATGCGCTCTGCCCGGATCTCCTATCTCGGGGAGATCGGCTACTAGATACCCCGAATAGCCACAATGTCCAGTACGTATGTACACCAAGTCGATACCCATGATCCCTCTATCCTCCTCAACTCACCACTTCCACCCCCTCCAGGGCACACACCCAGTTTGCTACATCTCCACAAAAGCACCCCTATGACTCCTGCGTCCCCTCGGGAGCCGTAGCTGTAGTTGCCGTCACCGCCCCCGCACTCCCACTAGCACTCGCACTCCCCGCACCCCCCTCATCCTCCCCTTGTTCCTCCTCCTCTTCCTCCTCCTCATCATCATCCACATCAACCAACTGCTTCCCCTTCCACGCCTTCTTCGCCGCGGCCGCCAACGCGCCATAATCGCCGCTCATCTCGCACATGCTCTTGAACACGGCGCCCGCCCCTTTGCGGCGCATGAGCTCCCACGGGTGGCCGTACTCAACAATCTCGCCCTTGTCGAGCACCAGCACCTTGTCGTAGTCGACAATGGTCTGCAGGCGGTGGGCGATGGTGATGATGGTGCTGGTCAGCTCGCGGATCGTCTCCTGGATGGCCGAGTCCGTGGCGTAGTCTATCGACGCCGTGGCCTCGTCCATCACCAGCACCGTGGGGTTCTTGAGCAGCGCCCGCGCCAGGCAGAGGAGTTGCCGCTGGCCCTGTGAGAGGTTGTTGCCGGACTCGGTGACGGGCGAGGAGAGGTCCAGGAAGATGTTCTTGTTGACGACCGAGGCCAGGCTGGACGGTTCGGTTGGACTTTCGGGTTGGCTCGTGTTGTTGATGGTGGTGGTGGCGGTTGTGGCTTCCGGTAGCGTGAGGGTGGTAGAGGCGGCGAGTTCGTCAGGTTGGATGAGGTGGACGCGGCGGAGCGCGTGGAAGATTTGCTCGTCTGTGTACAGAGTAAAGGGGTCGAGGTTGCTGCGGATGGTGCCCATGAAGAGAGTCGGTTCTTGCGGTACGATAGTGATGGCCTCACGGAGGTCGC